GTCAGCAAACCTACCGAGAAACCTTGCTTCTGTACTGCCATTCTCCAGTCAATCCAGGAACAGAAGATCACCAATAGCCCTTCCTCTAAAGCAGTGTTTCTCAACCTGAGCAACTTTAAGATGTGTGGACTTCAACCCCAAAAATCCCCCAGCCAGTGTGCTGGCTGGGGAATTCTGGGCATTGAAGTCCACACATCTTAAAGTTGCTCAGGTTGAGAAACACTGCTGTAAAGCATACACCAGCCAGGAAAAGCCTACTTGGAGAAGGCAGTTCTTTAAGAACCAAGAACCAGAGTCATATAGGGCTTTATAGGCAATAAGGAGTCCTTTGAATAGTACCTGAAAACTTAATAGTAAATGCAGCTGCTGCAAGCTGGGCATGATTTTGCTAAACTGGGACTGGCCTATTTGCAATCAGACACCTGCAGGTCCTGAGTAGTCTACAAAGGCAGCCCCAAGTTCATTACAGTAATCACGGTGAGAGATGATAAAGATGCAGTTGATAGTTGCTAAAGTCTGTTCCAGGAATGGCTGCATCTGGTGCACCAGCCACATCTGAGCACAAGCTCTCTACCTGCTAGTTCACCAGATTGGTTCCATTTGACAGCCCTGTCAAAAATTAAAGAAGGTATTACAGTAGATCCAGTGCTTTCTGATAAACCAAAGTGCACCCAATGTCTTCCTCAGCTTCTGTAAGAACAATTAGCTGTGAGGTTAGGGGACATACAGGCATTGACTAATGGGGAGGAGAGCATATAGAATGGTAGAGTTTGTAGGCCTTCAGACTCTTAAAGTTGCTGAGATTGAGAAACCCTGGGCTAGAGGCTCTATGCTGGTGACATAGAGCAAGACAGGCCAATATTTCCCCCTGTTCAGTTCATATTCACAGCAGTCAGCGTATCCAACCACTTTGGGAAATGGAAGGCTGACCACTTTTTAAAAAATCGTATCATAAATCTGTGGACTTAGGCCTATATGGTTACATGGTTTGTATACAAGCGTCATGTCTAGTTCTTACAGACAATGGGTAGATTGTGCAAGTTCTCCATGACTCTTGCCTAAACCCTTAAAATAAGTCACTTATATAGCTGGAGAATTGTATTGCTGAATAATAATGCAAAGGTTAACCTGCAAATGGGGAGAAATCAGTTGTCTTAGTTATAAGGTTTTTTTCTTACAAAAATATGGCAGGACACAAAGACACACAAAACCTGATGGTTCTATAACAATTTAATCAGAATATATAAAAGCAGTCTTTAAAAATGCTGAGATGCACTTTGTTTTGTTTTTACAAAAATGCATTGATTCTTATATCTGAAAAGAGAAAATAAAGAGATAACATTTTGAAGGAAATCATGAATAAAAAGGAACAAGGACTATAATTCAGTAATCATTACATCATCAAGCTTTCTGAAAGATACTATATACACATCGTATTTTAGCT